AAACGTTGTTGTTGTGTTGTTCTCCGAGTGTTGTTCTTTGCTCGTTTTTTAACAAAAAGAAAACGTTCAAATCGCTTAAAGGTGCAGTGTGTGATTTTTAGCTCCGCATCCCCTAGACACCATTTACTACTTTCTCTGATTTTGAAAACTCTTAAAATGCTTCCAGGATCGACTTGTCGACCACGATCGACGGGTTGGTGATTCCTGTAACGTTACTGCTTTACGGTCAATGACAAGAGTACGAATCAGCCGTCTCACGAACATAACCAGCACATTTATCCCCACATAACAAAGCCATAACACAGCGAGAGAGAAGAACTAAGTTACATGAAGTAATCCAAAAAGTCACTACTCACAGTGTCTATGGCTAGCTTCTAGCTTTCTGCGGCTTCTCTTTCAAGGTAGTGACGAAACGCGCTCTGTAGCGCTGTTTGTTCGCGTTCGGCTACGGTAGAAACATGACGTCACAATATGTCGACCTTCATAGAAGGGGGTGGCCGCGGTTATGTAGATATAAACGTCTCATTCTAAGGTAACAAAAACATTACGGTTTATTAAGTAAGTTCTTAATACGCCACTGAAAACATAGTTATGGATGTCAAACTACATTTCTGTTAATACAGATCCTCAACATTTTTTACACATTGCACCTAAAACAGACGCCATAGCTGATTCGAACGAGTGATGTTTCGAACAATGGATGCGGCATCCATCTTTGTAATGTAGGCTACAAAATCTGCTTCAAAATCCCAGCGCTGTCGTCATCGTGTAAAGCCCGCCCCAACGTTTCTGATTGGTGCAGCGACTTCGACGGATTGGAAATGGGCTTGAATGAGCTCTTTGCCAGACTAACTTCCAGAGCAAATTTAAATTTGCCGGAAGTTGTCTGGGTTTTCCCAGGCTAGCTGAAAACAGTATGAGTGACAGTCAAAAAAATTTTTGCACCACAAAAAAGGACCAACTGGACACGAGCAACTTAATTGACAAAACACACACACATCTCACATTCCCACAGAGAAGCAAAGTTGTGTGATTCCTTCACAGTGTCCGTATCAGCCATTACGAAACACAAAGGACCTTCATCCATGCAGATGGAAGTTTCTGTGTTTAAACATTCACAGCCTAGCCTGAAAAGAGTCACATAATTCCAGCAAATTGGACACAGTGATTAGTGCAGGGAGAGAAAAAAAAACAGAGCCCATTCATAACTTCAGCGGTCGGGAGAAAGCAATTATTCCCAGAGGGTTTGACAAAGGGTGAGAATTTATGCTGCAAAAGTAATTTTATGTTTGTTTTCTTTATTTGCAAGACATTTGCAAAGATCCATCAAACTGTCCTGCCTTGTGCATAAATTCAGGAAATGTCTTTCAGCTCATTTGAAAAGAGAGAGAGAGAGAGAGAGAAAAACATTGGCCGTGTAGTTTATTTCTTTATTTTTTCCTGTCTTGTAGAAAGTTGACACCCATCCAAAGTGTTTTAGCTCAAGTAAAGAACACCTCTTAACGTTTTCTGTTATTCCACTCACTTTTTGTTAATTTTAACTGACGGACCTCTCGACACTTTTTAACTTGTTGTTCATGCCGACGTACTGTAAATGGACAAGTAATCTGTCACATGCTGTTATCTAGCAAATAATTTGGATGTAGCAGTTATTGTTTTCTTGTGTAGTTTTAATTGTGGGATGACGGGTGGGGGAGGGGGGCTTTTTTCCAAACCAGGCCTGTTTTCCGAACCGTGTGTCGCATTCCCAAGAATCCTGGCGACTCTTTTGGATGGATGGGATCCTCGTGGATATAACAAAGCACAAAGGATGAATAGCAGTGTAGGGTGTGGGAGTGATGCTAGAAAGAGAGACTGCATGTTGATAAAGAGAGTGTATTTTTTATTGTGTATTTATTTGTTTGTTTTTATCTTTTGACAATAAGAAGTACTAGAAGGCATAATCAATTGAAGGAGAAAGAGAGTATTCGGGCAAGTAGTGTGCGATTTTGCATGAGTTGATGTTAACTAAATCTGGTGGTGAAATATACCTTGCAGAGACAGACATGCAGGTAACCTTTCATTATGGTCATAATCCCTCTTAATAACAGAGATGTGATGTCTGATATGCTCCATTACACAGAATGGCAAAAGACAAGCTGATGTTAAACTCTAACAGCAGCCTGAAGATATCGAATTAACCACACACACACACACACACACACACACACACATAATGCAGAAAACATACAGATACAAATAAAAGTATAACAAAAATACAAGAAAACTTTTTTTCTTATATTATTATAAATGTATGTGTCATAAAATACCACTAAATACACTTTCATATATATTTTGATAGTGTAATCTTAATTCCTATAGTTAAAAAGTTTAGTAAGAAATGGTAGAAAATAAACTGATACAACAATAAAACAAATACAATAAACTTTATATATTTAAAAAAAGTTTGATGGAAACATTTTTAAGAGAATTGGTTTCTTGATAATCTTCTTGGTGAGTAAAATAATAGCTTTTTTATTTCATTTTTTTAATTTAATTAAGAAAAAAATATATTGACTCAGACAGCTTTATTGTGCATTATATGCTTTTTAGCTCTCCATTTAATTTGATTAAACTTGAAGTTCAAAATTTCCAAGCAAGATAGTTTCCTAATGACAGTGAGGAGTTGATTATCATGGATAAGAAAATTAGCAAATAATAGTTTGTACAATTTTTATCTGATTTTAATATTTGCGTTTTTTATTTGCAAATATCATTTCCATTTATTTGAATGAATAGTTCTTTTTTAAATAGCCACAAATAGTTTTTTTTATCACCAAAATATCGTAGACTATTATATGTTATATTTTATAATAGGCTACATACCAAATATTTATAGTGTTACTTTTAGATTTGGCCTTTTTTAGTTAAGTCAGTTGTCTCATACAACAACTGACTAAACTAAACACTAGCGCTTCAACAAAACTAATAAATTATGAATAATTATCATATTGACGTTATATTATTATGATAACATACAAATAATATGCTAGGCTAATAGGCCTACATTATTTATGTATATGGTTTAAAAGATAAGCTAATTATTTGTGATGATGATATGTTTCTTCTCATAGGGGGAATTATATTAATCTTTTGAGATATCTAATAATTATAACGGATATCTTTTTAAACTCTTATGTAGATTGGGCACATCAATGATCACTGATCATAAGTTAACTTACCTGTACCAGTCCAGTCCGTTGTCATAGTTACGGTCGAAGAAGTGCGGCTCCGCTCCGACCGCGCGGATATCTGGATGCACGCGCAGAAACTCCAGCAGCGCGCGCGTCCCTCCTTTTTTCACGCCGATGATGATCGCCTGAGGCAGCTTCTTACTACCCTCGCCTAACGAACTCAGTTTACTTGTATCAAAATACGAACCCCCCGACTCCAAATCTACATCCAAAGAGTTTGACAGCTGTACGTTTTCCCGAAAAATGTGTTTATCTGCCTCCATTTCAGATAAATCCTCTTCACTGACACTTTCTAGCCGGTGTATTAATCTGTTGTGCCTCATCACCTGAGGTCTCGTGGAGGTCCATTTCTGAAAAAGTCTCTTTATCCTCATCGACCCAAAATCTTTAAGTTTCGAGGCGTAATATTCCTCCACCGGACCCGTATCTCTTCTCTCCGTGGGTATACAGGTCCCGCATCGATCCGTGAGGCAGTGGAGAAAGTACAGAGACGCAAGTATAGACAGCAACATGACCGCGAAGGTCTTAAAGATGCTCTTGGACGGAGGGTCTGAAAAGACGCGGCTAAATGCCATGTCGGTCCACGGGTGGCATGAGTTGGAGAGACAGCCATGCTAGACTGGCATTATTTGGTCTTGCCATCAAACAATAAAGCAGCGTTTGGAGCTCGAGAGCATCAAAGGTGGTTTAGATTTCGCACGCGCCGCTCCCCAAAAACCCTCGCTCATATGTAGCCTAAAGCTCGTCGTCGTTATATAAACTGTTATTAGTCTGAGAATTACATTAGTGAAATTTTTAAATTACTATCTTATAAGCGTTAATCATAATACCTTTAATAGTTTTTAAACAAATCGAGTCAAAGGTGTAAGATAAAAACGATTTTTTAGGTCATCCTTTTCTTCAAATGATTTGTGAAATTCTTATAAACTTCCATAGCACTAGTCTAGTAGCTCTCACACGTGTGTGTCTTGTATCTAACTTCAGAATGACGTCATCTGAAGTGACTGACATACTGCGGCCCAATCAGGTTCCCCAAACTTTTCCAGAGCGGGTGTAATTTGCTTCGCAGTAACCAATAGGATGCAGGAAGAGCAGGATAGACCCCGCCCACCTGTCAGTTCCGTTGAAGAGGAACGGTTACGCTCGTGTTCAAAGCAAATGTCACTTTCATCGCCTGTGGCCACTGCCAAACAATGTAGGGTTGTAAGTTAGTTTACAAGGTGGTTGTAAAGAATCCAAGAGAGATTGTTTATAGATTAACATCAGCATATTTACTAAAAAAAACAATAAATGTAACAGTACCTAAATTTCTCCCTAATATATCTTATAATAGTAAATTTTAACATTAATTTGCATTAAATCCTTTACTAAATCTAATTAGAAATCAGGCCAAATGCTCTGTCATTTTGCTTGGAAAGATTATACAGAATTTTAACTAATGCTAAACATATGATAAGCCGTTGGATAGAGGAAAAATGTATGAAATTGATATGATATTTGATCTCTTGTGTAAATGTGTGTTTAAACAGTCATGGTAATGGTTTAGTAATATTATTTCAGACATGCATAACTGCATGACTAAACCTATAAACATCTCCAAATCTATGTATTGTGTGCACTTCATTTTATGCGAATGGATAAGAGAGAGCTAGAAAACAATCCTGTGTTCATTCTATCACAGTTTTCACCGCTATTTTTCTTATTTCTTATTTATGTCACTGACAAATTTTGTAAACATTTGGCTCTTTTTTTTTACTTCAGGCCACCAAGGACGACCGTCATTTCCCCCCCTTGTTGTTACCGTATTGTCTTTCTTTTTTAATAAGGAGAAGAACACAGCATGGTGAAATGAAAGTAAAAGCAGCGCATTATCTCTTTACAAGTGAACAAGAACAGAACCAAATGTTTCACATCTGCTCCTGTAGTTTGCAGCATTACCATGTGAAAGCCAAAGGAGTGTTTCAATGCAGTACAGCCCACTGCTTCAGAATGGAGATGGAGACCTCAGTCAAAACACCGGCTTGCTTGTGCCAGATGTCCCCATGACGAGGACACAATGAAGGGGCTGATTCGCGTTTAACAAATCACACCCTGGTCCTTTCGGCCATCCCGGGAGAAAGAAGAGGCAACAATCATATAGTAAGGCCATCCTCCTGTGATGCCCCCTGGGTCAAATGTTTTTGCACCACCATTATTTTCATGATAAAGGAATTTGTGGAGACTCTGTTGCCGAGTGGACAGGCCTGTTCACTGAAATTTAAAACACAGGCTTAGTAAACTTACAATGTTTATGTATTTTTGGGTTCTGTCTATTTGTGCAGTTTTGATATTGCAACTTTTGCACAACTATCTGTGCCTTATCCAGCATTTAAAAATGTAAGAGCATACACAAATAACAGATAACTTTCCTTCATCTCTGTTATATTTACTCTGGACACTTAACAGTGTACTGAATTGTAAAACCGACTCAAGGATTTACAACAAATAATTGCAAGTATCTGTTGTCATTTGTTTAGAGAGTTCAGACATATCCATTTTGAAATTGCAATAAGTTTTTTTTATGAGGTTAACAGCTGTTATCACTATTCCTTGTTTGTTAGGATCTACAATGTTTTTATGGTCAGCAAGCAAAACCTCAAGTGCATCCTGGGCTCCCATGGCTTGCTGCAGTTTTCTCTGGACAGCTTTATGTGTGGATTTGGGACGTCTCAGCAGGAGAGAGACATCTTTACGGCCAGTGCTGTCGGAAAAATACAGGGCAGGTAATGCAGCTCTGTCATAGAACCGCAGAAGAAACAGAAGGGCATGTGAGGTAACTGTCCAGTAAATCTCTGATGGCTTATACATGAGGCAAGCCTTGTTCCAGAAATGAAGATCATTAGGTAGATAGATAGATTAGTGTGCCTTATACAATATATGTGAACTTTTCCTGTGATACATGTTTGTCTAAGAGGATTTATACACAAGCAAATGGTTAGGACATGTACATTCCTTTACAAAAAGAAAATATATTTCCCAATATATGAATGACCAAATATAACAGTATACAGTATTTGAAAATATACAGAATAATATATTGTGTTATACTACAATATATTGAATAGTGCATAAGTAATTGCCGCTTTTCAATTAAAAAATATGTGATGATATATTTACTAATATATCATAATAATTGTCATTTTATATTCAGCAATACACTTCATAATACAGTGTATAGATGTATATGTGATCAGATGTGGTACTGCATGTGTAATATATTGCAGATATAACATTAAACACTTACAGATCACCCCCCATATTAATATTGAGCAAAACCCATAAAATAACACTTCATTTTAACATTTGCTCTCTTTTAACAGTCAGAAGCAAAGCATGCTGGGTACTGGAAATCTGTTTTAACTCATTCCATGAAAGTTTGTATATATATATATATATATATATATATGAACATTCATATGGGAACATGTGTGTGCAATATATGTACACAATGAAGGATACAGCTTTGTGAATATTACATGTAATGCTATATTTGTCTTGTCTTGTCATTTATAAATATTTTATATGTATTAATATATAGCCATACATGGTCAATGCATATATTGTAGTATATTGAAAAAATATAAGCACTAGGTTTCCTTATATGGAAATGTATTATGAAATATATCACATTATATTTAGCACTGTATTCCCATTTATTTTTGTTCCGTAAGGGTAAACACATCTGCGGTTCAGACATGCAAGCTGCAAAGTGTTTTTCTGGTAGGAGGGATTTTCATTAAGAATTGCGGAAATGCAAATAAATCATGTTCTTAGTCAAATTAAGAGTCGGATTTGAAATGCTGCTTAAATGTTTAGATCGAGGTTGATTGCAATGAACCACCCGTGGCTTATTTACATAAAATGCTCTACCTTTATGAGTGCCAACAATTGACCCTGTGTACAATAGATTTCAAGAAAAAGTCTGAGAGTGTTTATTAATAAGACTTGAAATTCCTAATTAAGTGCAAATGTGATTAACTGTGTGTCCCACATCTTTGTGTGATAAGTGTGTGACACATTCCAACCTCTAAGAGGCAGTAAGACTCAATCCTACTTGAGGAAGTTTTGATGGGCAGAATTAAGAGAGAGAGAGAGAGAGAGAGAGAGAGAGAGAGAGGAGATTGGGGTAATCCAGAGAATGACTAGTGCATGTAAAACATGAATCATATTATTTGAAAAATATGAGAAGATTCTTAAACTCTTCAAATGGACTCATGGTAACATGATACAAATTCAGTCCACAAAATAGATATTCAAGCTGATGGAAATTATATTGAAACTTGTTAAATTTCCTGTGTATATCACTCTACAATGCATTGGACTCGCTTTCTCTCTCTCTTTCACATTGATCACATTAATGGGCCTGGCTTTGGAGATGAGCCTTGCAACTTCCCTGTGTGACTCTCATCTGAGCTCTCCTCTACCAGAGGCCCTTTGAGAAGATGACTCAGTCATTAGATGGATTGCTTTCTTACATAAACAAATGTCAGGCATGATCCCAACCGCCCTGTTACTCTGCTGTGGGACCAGAAGAAGTATGTGATATCAGAAGTGTAGAGACCTAAACAAGCTCTCCCTATTAAAGGCAGAGAGTAACTGCTCATTAAAAAGCAATACAAATGTGTGACTCCCTTCTGTCTCGTTCATTTAAATGTTTTTAAAATAGATATATACATAAAATTAGAAATTGAATTTGAGGTCAGAGACCCACCAATCAGAATCTCAGCTAAACCCCCAGCATTAAAAGTGTTTGTTGTGATTTTCTTTTTTGTCTTAAAAAAAACCCTAATCTGCTATATCAGTTTACATTTTAGGTTGACTAAGCAGAGAAGCATTATTTTATTTAACCATTTCAGCACTTGGACTTACTACATTCCTCCATAATTATTTTGAGCTGGGCCAGATGTCATTCTTCACTGCTGATGTGTTATGTGTATAAATTAAAGTACCACAAATACAGGAGTTCTCCATTCTAATACCTGCTGATTGACATGTTCTCTGATTTCTCTCAAAGGGTCTGCGTAGTTTTCAAGCAAAACTGGAGAGATATCCTCACTCTTGCCTTGTCCAAGATCTTTGTCCAAGAGAAAAGACCAGAGGGAACCACTGAACGCTTCTGCATATAGGTAAAACTGGTTACAATGTGCATTTGTACATTTTTCCAAGTATACAGATGTTTATAAATGAGATGGGGAGCACTGATACAGATTTTTATTCATTTTTCTCTTCTACATTATGACTGTCCAAGGTTCCATCTGAGGCACTCAAGGGATAGATGATAAAATTAGTTTCGGGTTTTTCACCCAGTATATCCCATCATGTTAAGACCTCTGAGTTAGTGCTTAAAATGTTCTAGGGAATGCCGGCGTCCCAGTCAGCCACCTGAGTATACACTACCTGCATCAATTCCAAAAACAGTCCATCTTGCTTAATTTGATAGAGTGTGGAAACCCTGCCTTCTCATGAGCCTTTGACAGTCGAGACAGCTGGATGTAGAAATAACTGCTTTTTGGCACACATCTTGACTCGCTGATCCTCTGTTTGACATTTGAGAAAAAAAGGTATGCTATTTGTTGTATTTGCTATGGTATTATTTGTAACAGTATCTCAAATAGGTGTCATACATGTCAAAAAGAGGGAAAGAAAAGTGTGGGAAGAGAGAAAAACTGTCAGAGGAGCTTGAAGCAGAGACTGCTGTCTAATCAAGGCTGAAATGGAGATCCCCAGAAAACAAAGGTAATGTAATGCAGAGAGAGCAGGACTATTTTTATTATTATTGTTTCTGATAGACAATCAGTTATCATTTGCAATAACATACTGTAGCATTTTTTATCCTTAAGTATGAACTACTTCCCCCACTGATATTTACATATAGGAATATCTGACCCGGTCACACGGAAAATATATAATGAACACTATTTGTTAATGTCAGCTTCTAGCCTAATGCCATTAACCAGGACATAAGCAGAGCTCTCATTTATACAGTTAGCATTTTTTACAAGACCCAAACTGCCATCCATGACTTGTTAATAGTTGCCAGAGCATGAAAGATACCTTGTTAGCCACACTGCGTAATCAAAGAGTGATGACAAATTGTACTGATTTTGCATCAGCTTGAGCAAGCTGGCCACATGTTGCTGTTATTTTGGCTTTCTTGGCTTTCAACAAAAAGCTCAATGGCCCTTTAGGGCAACCAGACTGCATTGAAATGTTTGGTTATGGTTGTCAGTATCATTTATTGTATTGCAATATTTCATATTTTCACTGCTGTCTACTTTAACTCACATCTGATTTTTTTTAAATGTAGCTTATTCAAATAATCTGATGGTAAAAAGACTGTTAAGTCATCTTAATTAGTACCCCTAAAGTAAAAAGCATAATTGGAGGAAAGTTCCTAACTTCAGAATTAGTGACTTTTGACTCCGACATCAGACAACTCCAGCTTGTTTAAAGGTTTTGCAAGTGCCTGAATAGCTCCACCAGTATCTAAATTGGTATGTTAAGGGAGGCGCTGATGGAGACAGGGTTTTCTGTTTTGTTTGCTTTAGCGCACCAGTGTAATTGATACTCTGCAAAATTGTGCTGACCTGTCGGGCTCATGGAGCATTGTTTTTAAGCAAGAAATTACAGTCTGGCGAAGACTCAAAGGCGACAGACTCTACTTAGTGACTCTGGGTGGGGTCCAGGTTGGTTGATAAAGCTTTTGAAGGGACACGTTGCACAAGAAAGGATAAAGATAGGTTGTGTGTTTGTATGAGTGTGGTCTAACTGATAAGATATCTGTGTTTAAAAATAGTAATGGGAGACTAATATTTTGTTACTTGTTCAAGTGTTCTCAACATTATGAAAGAACAAATTCTTTTGGTTTTCTTTTGATTTTCTTATTCTCTGATTGTGTGTGTCAATATATACACCAAACCAAGTCTTTATTTCTTTTTCTCTTATAGTCTTTCTTATGGAACCCATATGTGAGCAGTCCAACATGTCCAAATCAATGGATCAGAGGTCAAAATTAACTGCACATCTGGATGTACAGTTAGGTATTATGCCTTTTTCTCAGGCCCCCTTTATATCCAAAACCCGTTCCCACCAAGCAGACACAAACATAAACATGATAATACATGGCGTAAAGCCAAACCTCTCCCCCACTCTCTCGTATCTCATTCTCTCGCTGTCTTTCGCTCTGACACACAAACATACACACACACCTCAATTTCCCTTCTGTCCTCCCTAAACATCCAAATGGCAAGCATTCCTTCCTCCCCATGCTTCCGCTGAAAAAGCCTCCCTCATCTGTACAGAACCGTACAGTAACCCGACCACTCATGTTACCGCCCCTGGGACAGGCAGGTGAAAAAATAGGACTCTGGCCAGCCAACTCATCCTCCCGCATCTCTTCTAATGAGTGCAAAAAGGGAGAGCTGGGGCACAGAATGGACTCCTTCCCTTTGAACACACTAATTATCCAGGATGATTTACACATTTGTTTGCTTGGGAATTTGAAGGGAGGATGGCTCGGGCACCGGTGTGAGCCTCTTGTTGAATATTGCGTTGTCTTTAGAGATTAGCAACTGCTGAACCCCCCTGTCTATTTCAAATTGCTTTCACTGTCTTTTTTGACAGCATGGGCTGAAAACATTTATCCGTTCTACAAAGACGGTGAGAAAGAGAGAAAAAAAAATATTATTTAATGAGAAAAATCCAGTAGCAATCGTAGAGCTGTGTTTTGAGTAAAGTTTGACGGTGCCCTCGCTCCCCCCGTCGTCGCTGAGTCCGTGTCACCTCATTTTGATGGTGCGATAGGGGAGACGGGGCCGCCACCACAATTTGACACAACTAATTTAGACCCAGGCTTTTATGACACCCCAGAATGTATTACCTCGCACTGGCGTAATAATAACGGAGAAGCATCAATCAAATGGACCCTGTGCACACATTGTGCAATAAAGCTTATCTCTGACTGCCACAGTCTGTCTGACTCAACCCGGCTCAGTGACAATGAGTCTGTGTGCAGTTCTTTGGCATCAGCTTAGTTAACACAGCATAAATATGCAGTTTACGGGTCAATGACATTTTAATAAGCTTTCGGCTGACAGATCGCACACTGGTGTTTGGGTATATGTACAGGGTGGCTTTGGGGAGAAATTAAATTTTTTCTTGCATGTTCGCATAGCACTTGAAACACTTGATTGAGTTTTTTTTTCCCCCTTCCTACTCATATTCATACATTTTTGTCAGATTTACTGTGACTAAAATGGCATCTAATTTTAGTAAATGAAAATATATTTTAGCTAATGAAGTGCAAAATTAACCCAAATATTTACATTTTTCATTTACTACTTTTCAAAAGTGGGCTGGTATGATTTTTTTGGTTTTGAAAAAAATGTTCACCAATGCTACATTTGTTTGATCAAAAATATAGTTATAAAAGTAAAACTTTAAAATATAACAATTTATAAGAACTTTTCTATTTTCATATTTTATTCATATATGTACTTTATTTCTGTGATGGCAAAGCTGATTTTTCAGCATCAGAAATCATTCTAATATGCTGACTCATTATCATCAATGTTATACATTCTTCTTATATACACTATCGGTCAAAAGTTTTACATCAGTAAGATTTTTTATGTTTTTAAATGAAGTTTTTTCTGCTCACCAAGGCTGCTTTATTTGATAAAAAAAAATGACAAAAAGTAATATTGTGAAATATTATGACAATTTAAAATGACTTTTCTATTTTAATATATTTTAAAATGTAATTTGAAAGCTGAATTTTTAACATCATTACTGTTGCTGATCAGTTCTCAGTGTCAAATGATCCTTCAGAAATCATTCTAATGCTGATTTTATGCTCAAAAAACATCAATTATTATTTCCAATGTTGAAAACAGTTGTGTACCATTTCCCCCCCAAAATTCTATGATGAATAGAAAGTTCAAAAGAACAGCATTTATTTAAAATATAATCTTTTCCAACATTATAAATGTCTTTACTGTAACTTTTGATCAATTTAACTCATCCTTGATGAATAAAAGTATTTTCTAATTTCTTTCCCCCAAAAATAAAAAAAAATAAATTCTTACTGACCCCAAACTTTTGAATAGCACACCTTGAAGTGCATATTTAACATATAACACTGTCATCTCTTTGCATATATTTACAGTTATTCATTTTTTGCCATATTTTTTATTTCTTCTTCTTCTTTTTTCCCTTCCTTGTTTCTCCTGCCCCTCTTAAAGTCCCCTGTGTGCCGAGAACGGTGATGTCATGGGCTGCGGACACCTGGAATTCTCTGGAACTCATGTCACAGAATGTTTAGATGAGACGAATGGAGGTGTGCTAGCTGAAAGCCCTCGGCATAGCAGGAGATGACCTATTTGTTTGAGCTGATTAATGTCCCTGCCTGCTGAACTCAGGGTTTCAAGTACTGGTTGGTATGGCTGCCTGCTGATAAGTACTGCTCTGCTGATTTTTTAGACTACATCAAGCATGCCTTTTCGTTGACAAATGTTATCAATTTTAGGCAAAAGGCATTCATAATCTGCTTTAATACCATTACTTTTGTTGAAGTTTTGCCAGTAGAGTAATAAAACATGATGCTTTTACCTCCCTGGTTTTGACAGTTGTGTCAAGCGATTGTAGCACATTGTCTCTGAGAGTCCTCGTATCAGTCAGATTTAATTGTTGACAGGGTCACAGACCCCCTGGCATGTGGAGGCAGTCAGGTCGGTCTATAAAGGCTCCAGTTGGGCTAGAACAACATTAGCTTCATACAAGCAAACTTTCCACCACGCACAGCAATGCCAAGTTCCAACAGTGAATTCTCTCTCTAAGAAATACTTGGCTATTGATCTAAACTGGCAATTGTTAACATAAAGCTCCCTGAAACCAGGGATGAATGCAACTAGTATCATTAGCTTAGTGACTTATCTGCTATAGTCATCCAATCTTGCTTTAAACATCAAGCATCTAAAGCTGTAAGTTTCACCCATTCTAACTAGAGAGTTTAGATGTACAGGGCAATAAGACATAGTGACTCCACTCATTATCACCAAGGATATTGAGTTTGATCCCTTTACGTATAGACTGGGGTACATTGTCTCTGTGTAATGAATGT